CTTTATAGTCTGAAAAATAGCTCCCTTTTGAAATTCACTTTCAAAAAGATAAAAAGATTTATGAAATCGTGATTTTACAAATTTTCCCCTGAAAACAATAAATCCCAATCGTTTTCGCAACAATTCCCGCAAAAGAACAGAAAATCTTCTCTGTCGAAAGCGAAAAGTGTGAAAATTTGACTTGTCTAGGTCTAGATGTGAAAAACACTCAGCCACTGTAATAGGGTAAAGTGTAATAGTTGAAAACAAAACAGGATCAGAGAACGCAAGACTATGAGGGATTTTTTCTAGAGGATTTTTTCGGTTCAATCAAATAGTGTAAGGGTATGTTTCAATCAAATAACCAATTTGTTTTATCACTCAAATCAATTTTCTTATCAATTTTCTTATTTATTGCTTTGTTTTTCAATTGTTTTATCAACAATAAGCTTCTAGTCGAGCTCTTCAGCGCGCGTTTACACTAACACACAAAGAACAGTCTAAAATTGGTAACCATTACTCCAATCCGCAGCTTTCTTTTGCTTCTTTCTCCAATATTTCTGATTGCTATCGTAACTTTGATCTCTTTGGTATCACAGTAATATTAACACCTTTTCTCTAACAACTGGGGATCAATTTAAAACTTTAAAAAGAACATCTCTTGCCAATCATCATTTTTAGACATCATTTTTAGCACTTTTAACTATTTTAAGCTAAATTTCGATTTGAAAAAGTGAAAGCTAGAATGAATAGAGCGATAGTGAATCGCTGATAGAATGAATAGAGCGATAGTGAATCGCTGATAGAATGAAATATGATTTTAAAAAGATGAATTGCATAAAGATTCATTCTAAAGAGAAAAAATCCGCTTTCTGATGTGCAAAATAGTCAAAAAGTATCCCCAAGTCTACTTTTGATTCATTTTGTGCAGAACATTAGCATTTAAAATCCATTGCGGGTGGAGGTGATGGTACTGGGTCATGGATATGAGGCCGTTTTCAACACTTCTTTTCAGTTTTCTTCTGAATTTTTCGGGTTTTCTGGTTGACACCTTTCGGATCCTCCCTCCAATGTCCCAGAATGTCGCCATCCGTTACCTTTTCTACCTTATTATTCTAATGTAAATTTTCCTAATGTGACGTCCAAAATAATCAAAAATACCCAAATTTTCTTTTACTTTGTAAATGGTATGGAGAAAAAGATGTTAAATGGGTTTTTGAGGGGCTTTTGAGGTGGCGGAATCGATTGATAGCATTTGTTGGCATTAAACGAAAAAACCAAAATTGAATATACCAGTGCACATCAGCGCGAAAGTGGGTTTTCTGATGAAAATTGATGTTATACTTTTCTCGACAGATTTGGTTCCTTAGGTACAGATTTGGTTGCTTTTCATTACAGATTTGGTTCCTTTTCTCTACAGATTTTTCCTCTCCTCTACAGATTTGATTCTACCCTACCATTCGATGGGAAAAAGTGTGCTGAATCCGAATCTCGATATCATTTTTTAATTCCATCGACAGTTTTTTAAAAAATCGGCTTCAAAAAAAAGTCAAAACTTAAGTTCGTAAAACTGCCATAAAATCTTTGACCATCTTTTGTCGAACGGATTTCAAAATCGTTATCATTTTTGGAATCAACACAAAATTCTGCGTCGAATTCAATATATTAGAAGAGATTTCATTAGAAAACGCATTTAAACATTGTTTCGCGCGGATTTGCAGTACCATTTTTGTCATAAAATATGCCTTTTACCTTTAAGTTTATGAAAAAATTCACTAAATATTGTAAAATATTGCACGTAAACACCACACAAAATACTTAATCCAGAAACCATTCCATTTCGTATCTAGTTTGCTCAACCTTTTCTCATTTCGAGATACTAATCCGAGTGTTTCTTTCTCCAGCCTATAATTGGTACCAATTACTCCAATCCGCACCTTTCTTTTTCCTCTTTCTCCAATATTTCTGATTGCTATCGTAACTTTGAACTCTTTGGTCTTACAGAAATATGAACACCTTTTCTCTAAAAGCTGGGGTTCAACTTAAAATTTGTTTTATTAGAGAGCAAAGTATTAGCTTAATAAATGCTATTTGGCTGAAAAAACTAGGCTTTCGTTGTAAAAAGTAAAAACTTGGGTAATTAAACCGGCTCAAAAGGTTTTTCGGCACCTCATAAGCGGACGGTGTGCCAGACGCCGTTTTTTCTTACGAGTGACGTCTAGGGTACATACAGGACTTGGGTAATTAAACCGGCTAGAAAGGCTTTCTGACAGTCGCTATCCGGGACAGTGTGCCAGACGCTGTTTTTTCTTACGAGTGACGTCTAGGGTACGCACAAACTTAGGTAATTAACAGTCGCTATCCGGAATTTAATCAAAATCACAGACCGAGTTGACCTTTTTTTGATCAAGCTTAGCTCATAACTAGACCAACAATTGTTGGCTTGAAGATCAAGGGAAGCAAAAGAGCTGGCTGATCTCTATCGCGAAAAACTATGCCTGAAAGCCTTGATACTAATATTAGGCTTTTCCAGACGGCTTTTCCAGAAGGCTTTTCCAGAAGGCTTTTCCATTTTCCTTTTCATACTTTCTTTTAAAATCAACAAAACCAATTGAAATACGATTTATTTCATTAGAAAGATCAATTATTTTCCTGCAAAATAACATTAAAACGGGTTTAAAATGGGTTATTTCTGAATTTTCTGAATTTTTTCGGCGATTAGAAGGCAAAGAGTCAAAAAAGGTGGATCGATGATGTTTAGACACTTTAGCAAATGAAATCTAAATCCCTGTTAGAATAGATAAAAGATAGAGTACAAAAAGTTTGGTAGATTGATAGATTTCTCAAAAATGTATCTAGTTTGAAGTCGTTACTCGAAATATTGAAAACTTGTGCTTTCACCTAGCAACAGATTACCGCATTTGTACCTGGGTGACATGGTTTTCGTTGAAAGTCGATCACCAGAACGTGTATCTAGTTTGAACTCTAATACCCCGGTCACGTAGAGAAAAGCGGCGTCTAATTACGAAAATTCGCTGATTCTACATCGACTTTCAGCCAACGAGATTTATTGTTGTACTTTGGCACAATTAATAGGTAAATATGCAAAAAAAGAAATCCTTCTCGGGGTTTTTAGGCTTTTTGAATGAAAGACTGTAAAAAAGAAATCAATTTCATGAATTTAAATGAATTAAGCTTTACGGGAAGTCTCAATAATTGTTATTTGTCTGAAAAAAATAGGCATTCGTCGTAAAAAGTAAAAACTTGGGTAATTAAACTGGCTAGAAGGGCTTTCTGACAGTCGCTATCCGGGGCAGTGTGCCAGACGCTGTTTTTTCTTACGAATGACGTCTAGGGTACGCACAAACTTGGGTAATAAAACCGGCTAGAAGGGCTTTCTGACGGTCGCTATCCGGGGCAGTGTGCCAGATCCCGCTTTTTTCTTACGAGTGACGTCTAGGGTACGCACAAACTTGGGTAATAAAACCGGCTAGAAGGGCTTTCTGACGGTCGCTATCCGGGGCAGTGTGCCAGATGCTGCTTTTTTCCACTGGCGACGTCTAGGGTACGCACAAAGACGGTTTATTAGTAGTTTTTGCTTCTTCAGAAAAGTCCCAATTTCTAATAATATCAAAATCCTTTCCTCTTTCAACATCTCCACCCAACTACAGCTTTGTTTTGCACTTTCCCCTGATCACACATCTCAGAAATCTGTTTATCTGTTTCCGGAAATACAAAAACCATTCTAGAAGACTTTTTCCCTTCCTTCCTTCCTTGTACAAAATAAGCTGTTGATTTGAAAGTTGCAAATAGAGAAATGAAATCGCTTTTTTCTTTGCATAAACAGATTAGACTCGTGAACAAAGTTTATCCGCTTAAATGGTAAACAGAAATTATGAAAGAAAGAAAGAAAGAAAGAAAGAAAGAAAGAAAGAAAGAAAGAAAGAAACTTAATGATTTGAAGTGAGTGTGTTAAACAATTTGGGGAAAATGATTAAAATCAAAATTTCAAATCTATTTCGATTCTAATAAGAGAAGATCAAAAGACTGAAATCTCTAAATGACTTGTATTTGCTCTATTTTAACTTTGCAATAAGTATTATGACATCAAAAACATTAAAAGAAAAGATGAAAAGCAAAGGAACGAATTGAACCCGAGGAAAGAGTGGGACGATTGTTAAGAAAACAAGACTCTTATCCACTATACCATGAGGCCATGCTGCTCGACGATGAAAGAAGCTTTATATCTTCATTTCCCTGTAAGCACAACAAAAAAAATCCAGTTTAAGCCGAGAAAAAGCTCATGAAAATCAAAATCTTTGTACAAACAATCGATTCTTTTCCGGGAAATTGTACTGAATGGATTTTTATAGGATTTATAAATAGCTACAGTACTTAGCCAGCCAGTTATTATTAAAATATCACTTTCTGAAAGCTTAATCTTAAGAAAATTAACGTAATCAATCAGTTTTCATCCAGCTTTCATTCGATTTTTGTATCATTGTGATTCTTCAACGAATGATAATAAAATTGGACTGATAAAAATACTCTATCTGTTTGATTATGATAGTTTTAAAAGGCTTTTAGAAAAACATTTACACTTTACTATCAGAAATAGATCCTTTCTGGTAAACTTATTGAGATTTTTCTTGAGATCTGACCAGCTATCGATCTGTCGATCTATCGATCTGTCGATCTATCGATCTTCGACTATCGATCGTCGATCTCGATCGTCGACGCGATCTGCGATCGTCGATCGTCGACGTGATCTGTCGACGTCGACGTCGTCTGTCGACGCGACGTCGTGTCGATCTGTCGATCTGTCGATCTGTCGATCTGTCGATCTGTCGATCTGTCGTTCGCTGTCTAGTACGCTAGAAGAGGTGCTTACTAAGCACAAAGTACAGTCTAAGAAACATTCAAATGCTTCAATCTCTGCTTCAAATGCATAGATTAGATTCTCATCAACAATTCAGATCAACATTCACCATTGAATCGATTGTAAATCAAGAATCAAATTATTGTTTCATCAAAGGATTCGGATTCGATTCGTCCGAGATATCGATTGTTAAATTGACTGAATGAGTCGGTGGATTTGGAGAAGTTGAACCGGAAGAGGCAGTTGAACAAGATTTTGCATCTTTTCGATCACAGCTTTCCATCTCATTGTCAAACTTTTGAAATAATAAACCCGCTGCTAACATTTTCTTTAAATTCATCTCCGAAGCGATCGCGTCCATCGTTTGTTGTTTCTCCTAGAAAGTGATTTCTCCTAGAGTTTCATCAGATCGTTTTACTGGCTTCTAGCAATTGTATTTGATTCAACAATGCTAGTAGGTTAAATAAGTCTTTGTTTAGATTGATTTGAGCATTGTTTAGATTGATTTCAGATTGATTTCAGCACTGTTTCAGAGAAAAACTAGATTCAAGCCATGAGTTTCTAGATTTATTTTAACAAATAAGATGATAAAGATCAAGTTAAAAGTTTTTGAGCTCTTTTTTGGAACTCCTAGGTGTGAAACTTCTGCTAGGAAGTCGATTTTCACCAAAATTTTCACCAAAACCCCCACCTCTTCTTTCTGCTTCTTCTCGTAAAGATAATTGCGTCTCCTTTTTGAAACAGTGATCCAGAAAAGTTTCGATAGATACATTAAGATCTCTGTAGAAGGATTACGATAAAATTGAATCCAACTATGCACCTGTGCAAGTGATCACCGACATTCCAAAGCAGAGTCCCATATTCCCACCAATGTCACCTGAAAGTTGATTTTTTGAAACTTTCAAAGTATGCTTAAACATTGCTTAAAGTGTCCCAATTACCGTAGCCCTTAAATATGAAGCTAAAGATTGCCCCAACCATCGTAAACTAGTGGATTTGAAGGAAAAAGCTGACTTGGTACTTAAAATTTGACGATTACTTGAATCTGCCGTAATCTATTGCTGTAATCTAGCTACGTTGTTAAGAAAAAGCTTGAAACAGCTTATATTTAGGTGCTCATGACTACCGTAACCCTTAATCATAAAGCTAAAGATTGCCCCAACCATCGTAATCTAGTGAATTTGAAGTAAAGCCCTGACTTGATGCTTAAAATTTCACGATTACCTTAATCTTATTAATCTGCCGTAACCTATTGCTGTAATCTAGCTACGTTATTCTAAAAAAAGCTTAAAACAGCTTACATTTAGGTGCTCATGACTACCGTAACCCTTAGTCATAAAGCTGAAGATTGTCCCAACTATCGTAAGCTAGTGGATTTGAAGGAAAAAGCTGACTTGGTACTTAAAATTTGACGATTACTTGAATCTGCCATAACCTATTGCTGTAATCTAGCTACGTTGTTAAGAAAAAGCTTAAAACAGCTTATATTTAGGTGCTCATGACTACCGTAACCCTTAATCGAAAAGCGAAATATGGTAATCTAGTGAATTTGAAGTAAAACGCTGACTTGATGCTTAAAATTTGACGATTACCTTAATCTACAGCTCGTAATGGTATCTATTGCCGTAATCTAGCTACGTTGTACTAGATACGCAATTTTTTAACAACGTAGCTAAGTAATCTAGCTACGTTGTTAAAAAAAGCTTATCTTTAGGTGCTCATGTCTACCGTAACCTTTAAGCAATGCTATTGTAAGCCAGCTTTCTCAAGTAAAAGTTTAAAGTTCAGATTTCGATTGGCTCTGTACTCTTTAAGACCGAAGTTGATGAAATAGTCTTTACAATTCTTTCCGATTGTTTATTTTTATAGAAAAGAATTCTTTATTAAATTCTTTATCAAATTCTTTAACAAATTTGTTGATTTTTAAATTATTAAAAGGGTTATTTCTCTACAAAATTAGAGAAAGTTTAAAGCTCAACTCAGCAAATTTTCAATTGCTGTTTTAAAGAAAATCGTTGAGCGAATCGTTTTCAAATTTTACAGAGTTATGTAATTAAAAGAGCTCTATCTTTTTTACTTTGATGCCAAAGCTTTTGATAGCTTTGTATTGAAGAAAGTGTCGAAATTGTGGCTTCAGCATCGGAAAAGTCGGCATTTGGGTGCTCGCTTTTTATCAAATTGCGACTTTTCAGCATTGGAGCAGATTTCGGTGATTGCTTTTGTTTTTGCCTTTCCTTTGCAGAATTGCTTTCTCTTTATACAAATTGGATTCTTTTTCTCTATAGAATTGGTCTTTGAGCCTTTAAAAATCTATAAAAACAAAGACTTTCAAGAATTTCCTTAAAATCGATTTTCTAAAGAAATAATTAACCTTTTTAATACTTCAAATCGAAATTTTATCGATGGTAACAGATTTTAAAAGAGATTTTGGAAAAAGTTTTTAAAAACTTACCGTAAATACTGTAATAGCCCCACCCTCCATAATGACGGTGCGGAGCATTGCGTAGTCTAGCTTTGGACGCGTTTTTCTCGACACTGGCTGATGCTACAATGCTACAATATATATCAAAAAATAGCTGAGATTCAGGGCTATTTTTTGATACCTAAGCGTGCGCTGTAACTTAAACCAGTGTCAAGAAAAACTCGTTCAAAGCTAGACACGCAACACGAGACGACGTAGTCTAGCTTTGAACGAGTTTTTCTTGGCACTGGTTTAAGCTACAATTCTCGCTTAGGTATCAAAAAATAGCCCTGAATTTCAGCTATTTTTTTTGATATATATTGTAGCATTGTAGCATCAGCCAGTGTCGAGAAAAACTCGTTCAAAGCTAGACTACGCAATGCTCCGCACCGTCATATGGAGGGTGGGGCTATTACAGTATTTACGGTATGTATTAATGTAATATTTAATTGATTAAATACTTTAGAGTTAAAAGAAGTCACTCCAGGGATCTACAGTGATTCTGTTTGTAAACCAAAAAAGTAATTTGAGTAAAAGCAAAAAAAAAGACACCACTCAACGAAAGCCTTTTCAACAGTGAACTCAATTTTTGCAAATTTCTCAGCGCACTAGCAGGGTAATCCTTTAAAAAGCTGATTACTTCAACAAATCCTCAATCTCTCATTCAAAAAGATTTCACCATCTTTACCCGGCAATTTCCCCGTAAATCCCGCCACTTAATCCATCATTTGCTGAGAATTCGAGGTTAAGCAATCGAAAATTTGCACTTTAAAGCATTTTGAAAGGCTCGGCTTAATGTCAATATCATGATTTGATGAAAATTTGGATTTGGATCCATTCATTTGGAACTTTTGCGAGCTTTTGAAAGCTTTTGAGAGCTTTTGAGAGCTCTTTCGTAAACATTTTTCAGTTTAAACAGATTTTAGCTTATAGGGATAAGTGCTGATTTGTAGATGATGAAAAAAAAAATAAAAAAATAACGATTTTCGATGAAATTGAGTTGAATTTGATAGGGGTTTTTGGAGGAAATTTGGAGGAAATTTGAAAGAAGCCAATAACTGGAAGTCCAATGACTGGAAGTTCAATAACTAGAAGTCCAATAGCTGGAAGTCCAATGACTAGAAGTCCAATAACTAAAAGTCCAATAGCTGGAAGTCCAATAACTGGAAGTCCAATGACTGGAAGTCCAATAACTGGAAGTCCAATAACTGGAAGTCCAATAACTGGAAGTCCAATAACTGGAAGTCCAATGACTGGAAGTCCAATAGCTGGAAGTTCAATGACTGGAAGTTCAATGACTGGAAGTTCAATGACTGGAAGTTCAATGACTGGAAGTTCAATGACTAGAAGTCCAATGACTGGAAGTCCAATAACTAGAAGTCCAATGACTGGAAGTCCAATAGCTGGAAGTCCAATAACAACTTACCTTTAAAAACACTTTTCCAGACGTAAAATCTCTCGTAGATTCCGAATTCGCAGTTAAAAATTTAAATTTCCTAACAAAAAGTACGCTTTTTCCTAATAATGGTACAATTGTTAAGGAAAAAGCGTACTTTTCCCGTTGAGGGTTTGGATGTTAGGTGAGCCCCGGTTTTTTCGGAGGATCTGAACCCCAGTATTCCTGCAATGACTGGAACTCGATTGAAATATTTGTGCAAATAGAACTAGATTCGTTGAGGGTTTGTATAAAAGGAGCTTTCTTTTGTTTCAAATATTCTGCGTAAAGATTTGGCGTAAAGACAATTGTAAAGACAATCGTAAAGACTATTGTAAATAGAGTGTGTTCCTCGCGAGTAATGCGTTTTTTAAAACGCACACTTGGGAAAAAAATTACCGTACTTTTAGCAAAAATTATTGCAAAAAAAATGACGCAAAAGTGACGAGCCCCGCATTATATACGACACTTTTTAAAGATACTCAGCCGTTTAACTGAATTCCCTTCCAATGTAAAAAATAATTTTTTTTGGAAAAACCTGCGCAAAAAATTGCTTTTATATTTTTTTTCGCGCAGACGCACTTTTTAGAAAACGCATTACTCGACAATTACTCGAGCTCTTACTCGAGTAAAAAATTACTATTGTAAAGACTATTGTAAAGACTATTGTAAAGACTATTGTAAAGACTATTGTAAAGACTATTGTAAAGACTATTGTAAAGACTATTGTAAAGACTATTGTAAAGACTATTGTAAAGGCTATTGTAAAGACTATTGTAAAGACTATTGTAAAGACTATTGTAAAGACTATTGTAAAGAAGATTGAAAAAGCAAAAGAATCTGCTCAGCTCGTGAAGCTTTTCATCAAGAATGATTATGCCCCGAAAGATGGTTAAATTTCATCGCAGAGAGGAGTGGAGAAAGAAAGCGAGCAATGGGAAAAGAGACCCTTTTTTATAACCCCCTCAACGGCTGTGTGCCAGAAAGCGCGCGATTATTGGCTCGCACAAAGAACGGCTGGTAGAGGTGGGTTTTTGGTCGATTTTCGGTCAAAAACACTAAATTTTGATTGGTTACAATAGTTTTCTAAAATAACTCCCTTTTAGGATGAAGAGAGACAAGCTCTAGCTATAATATAATAGCTATAATTTCTCAAACTCACTGAGTGTTTCCGAGATCGAGATCCCTTTCACTTGATTGTATTGTATATAGGTTAAATCCTTGAAAAAGACCGAAACAGCCAAGAAATTCTCTCTAAAATGAAAGTTTAAAATGTTTAGCAATGTTTTTTTCGAACTTGACATGCTCCTTTGTGAGATTCTTATTCCTATTCCTATCCACCAACCAATTGATCGCTCCGTCTGAAAGAAAATGAATTTAATCGATTGTTTTAGTTGACAAAATGATTATTTTTGAACTATTGGGAAAGATAAGCCTTTAGTTATTTTTTTAAACCTGTTATCCCATTGGTAAAAGTGTTTGGTTTGCTGTCAGGGTTGTTACAATTGAGCTCTAGAGCCTGTAAGTCTAGCCAGTCTAGCCAGCCAGTCAAGCCAGCCAGTCTAGCCAGCCAATCAAGCCAGCCAGTCAAGCCAGTCTAGCCAGCCAATCAAGCCAGCCAGTCAAGCCAGTCTAGCCAGCCAATCAAGCCAGCCAGTCAAGCCAGTCTAGCCAGCCAGTCAAGCCAGCCAGTCTAGCCAGCCAGTCTAGCCAGCCAATCAAGCCAGCCAATCAAGCCAGTCTAGCCAGCCAGTCAAGCCAGCCAGTCAAGCCAGCCCGTCCAGCCAGCCAATCAAGCCAGCCAATCAAGCCAGCCAGTCAAGCCAGCCAGATCCAAACAACTACGGACTGGCTCAGTGAACAGTCTGATGAACTATCAAACCTATCTCTTTTGCTCCGAGTTCGAATCCTGCACTTGTAAACCTTTTAACTTTTTTCAAAATCTATTGTAAACAATGGTCGAGTTAGCTCCATTGCTTCTTGAAAACGAGTCCGAAATTTAGGGCCATTCTCTATGCCATATATATCGCGTTTGCGAAGCGTTCTGCAAAAACTAAAAGCTAAAATCTAAAAGCACATTCGAGCTGCCCATGACCGATTCTATAAGATGGGCTAGTTCTCAAAAAAGGCCATTTTGAGTTGGCACACAGTCCCTGGTGAGATGTCAAATCCAAATTCTAGAGAACCCTGGAACAAAGGCAGACCAAACAAGAGCAGGATCTGGTTTTAAACTCTGGCAAAACCTGTTTACTGTCAAAGTTTACTGTCAAAGTCAAAGTCTCACCCGAGAAGCCGACTCCATACGAGTTGAAAGAGTTGTACTGCCACGACTCACACTCCACAGCACATTCTTGGCAATTCGGGATCTCGAAATCGGTTCCTGGAAAGGGAAAATGCCATTAAATGACAAAGATAGAGTAAACCATTGTTGATTTTCGTTTCATTCATGCAATTGTACATCTCGTAAGGGGTACATGTTGGTCTTTCTGAAAGTAAAAGAAAAAAGTGATAATTCTTGGGTAATTAATTGATTTTTAGAATTAAATTCAGTGGAAAATAGCTAAAATTTGTGGAAAAGTACATACTTATTTTGGTATTTTTGTCGTTGAAAAGTTCAGTCAACTTTCAAAAACATTTCTTTGCAAAGATTTTAAGGGAAAGAGTTCGTATTCCGGGATTACGATTGGATTACGGTAACTGTGAATAACGGTGGCGATTAGGCTACAGTAACCTGCTGGGATACGGTAACGTTTACAGTATTACGGTGGCTAGGGATTACGGTAGGTAGAGATTACGGTAGGGATTACGGTGACTCTACTACGGTAGCTGTATTACGGTATCTGTACTACGGTGACTGTACTACGGTAACTGTGCTACTGCAACTGTACTACGGTAACTGGACTACAGTAACTGTACTACGGTGTCTGTACTACGGTAACTGTACTACGGTAACTGTGCTAAGATAACTGTACTACTGTAACTGTACTACTGCAACTGTACTACGGTAACTGGACTACAGTAACTGTACTACGGTGTCTGTACTACGGTAACTGGACTAGGGCAACTGGACTACGGTAACTGGACTACGGCAACTGTACTAGTAACGGTACTACGGTAACTGTACTAGTAACTGTACTACGGTAATTGAAAACTGACTGAAATCGAGATTGTACATGAAAGGCACGCATTCACACCGCTCATAATAGAAAAGAGCTTTGCATTGAAGAGCACAATTCCCAGCCGAATAAGCTAAAGTTTAGATTGTTTTTTGTTTAGTTTCCTTACTGGATTGATTAAAGATAAAGCTCTGAATTCTATTTGGATTCATTTAAATTTTTGATTTCAACTCACCAGCATTCGTTTTATACTTTCGTGGCCATTCCTTTATGCAGTTTCCCCAGTTCTTTGTGTCCAAAAGAACATACTGAAAAGAAAGCTAATAAAAGAGTTTTAAAATGTGTCTACTTTCTATTACTATCGTAATCTGTTGCTAATTTCTATTGCTATCTCTGTTATCCATGATCTTTTGATCTTTTGATCGTTTGATCTTTTGATGTGAAGATCTATATGATGATCAATCTATTTTTGGTGTGAGGATACAAAAGATTGAAAGATATTGAAAGATATCAAAGTGATCGATTAGATAAACTTTGGTAGTTGAAAGTTGAAATGTTTTCGAAAAAGGATTCAAGATTCTTTGTTGTTTACATTTGTAGTGGAAATTGATGTGTAGGCTCGGGTATCTGGTGAAACAGAGATTCCCTCAGATGCAACATAAGAAAGCGTCTAAATGGGATAGGTTTTTAATGTAATAGCTACTGTAATAGGTGTAAGAGCTAGCTGTAAGAGCTAGCTTTAATATTGGGTTGGGGAGAATGAGTCGGCGCCCAACTTTAAAGGGACTTTTTGCACACATAAAGCCTTCTTTAAACATACGTTTGGTTTCATCAAAAGGATCCACTATTTCTCGACAAAATCACTTTTGAGAGATTCCACAAAGCTTTTCTTTCGTGGAGTTTATGAACTTCGAAACGCAGCTGGTTAAAATGGCAAAGAGTCCGACTCATCATTTGAACAGTTTCTTTCACATAAACCTTCTTTGGTGTTTATATAAAAAAGATAGAGCACATTGAATTACTTAAGTTGCCAAATTTGCAGGAAGATCCCACCAATGGTTTTTTCTAGATCACAGTTTGTAGTTTTTGTGAAAAAATGGCTTTTTCTTGAGCGGAGGCGCTGTTTGAATTTTCTTTTAAATGTCATTTTGTAGAGAATTAGTTAACCATTCTACTCATATCAAACGCATATTATTTGACGAAGTCGAATTGAAGTTTTAGACATTTTTTTCATTTTCGGCGCCGACTCATTCTCCCCAACCCAATAGCTAGCTTTAATAGCTAGCTGTTATAGCTGTAATAGCTGTAATAGCTAGCTGTATTAGCTAGCTGTAATAGCTAGCTGTATTAGCTAGCTGTAATAGCTATAATAGCTAGCTACTAGCCGTAATAGCTAGCTGTATTAACACAAATTGCACAAAGCACTTGCGTATTGTCAATAGATGTATATATCTTTGTCTTTAAGAGATTTATCTCAAAGCTTTATCTTAAAGCTTTATCTTAAAGCTTTATCTTAAAGCTTTCACCTACCTCAGGCGCGTGAACGAAATACCGAAAACCGTTCTCGAAAGAGTTTGTGAACACCGGATCAGATTCTTCTGTAATTCTTGATAAAACTTGACTAAACAAATCTGATCTTGGACAATCTTTTTACTCAATTCAACACGAATCCCACCTCCCGATCCACTGTAGGAGATCTCCTCCAGATGAGTGTCCAAAATGACTTGAAGACTGGAATTTTAAATGTTACAAAACAAGCACAAGAGTCAGCATGAACTAAAGCTAGAATTTTAAAACTTGTTCTTATTTACTGTTCTTTTCCCACTTCTTTAAGTTCCCCAATTTCTCGAATTCTCAAAAATTACACAAACATTTCATTGTTTTTTTTTTCCCATTCTCCATTTCAGTCACTCATAAAAGAAAAGTACCGATAGCGGTTCGATCAGAAGTTGAGAGCTCAAAAATTTCGCACTTTCTGAGAAATTTTGGGTTCTCTTGGAAATCGAAAGAGGAAAAAAAAAGATGAAATGAAGAGAATGGGTGCATGTAATCAGGAGACATTACGTCTACAAATGAATCACTTTTGACTGTAAAAGGCAAAAGGAACGCTGATCAGTAGAAAGTGTTTGATTTGAAGGCTAGCGATGCTGACCATGTGTCATGTAAAGGTATTAGGTTGGCAAGTTATAAACGATCGCTTTTGGGTAATGTGTTTTCTGAAAAAAATGGCTTATCCAATCAAAAAACGATTTGCTTTATTCAAAAGCCCTATTCTTAATCTACAAAATGGCTTTTTTTGAATTTTAATGTAAGAGTTGAAAATCCTGGTTTCTAGCATTCATGAGCTATTATATTTTTGAGTGATTGCATACTTTTTGAAAATAAAACTCTTCATCGATTACATAGTTTCCCAAAATTTCAGAAAAATCCAATCTTCGGAAGGTTGATTTTCAGAACAATTTCAGAAGCTTTACCCATGAAAGATTACTGAGAGGAAACTTATGATCAGACTTGGAGATTATTCATGTTCACAGTTACATTCACAGGTTAACAAGTGGTTAATATCTGGCTAATATCAGCTCCAATATCAGCTCTAATATCAGCTCTAATATCAGCTCTAATATCAGCTCTAATATCAGCTCTAATATCAGCTCTAATATCAGCTCTAATATCAGCTACACCATACCCCCTAATATCAGCCTAATATCAGCCTATATCGCTCATACAGCCAAGCTCTAAACAGCTCTAATATCAGCTCTAATATCAGTTCCAATATCAGCTCTAATATCAGCTCCAATATCAGCTCCAATATCAGCTCTAATTTCTAATCTCTAATGTCGTAAACTCAAAAAAGTTTTCCTTACATAGTTTCCCAAAATTTTAGAACAATCCAACTCGATCGAACCGTTCTCTTTCTTTTAATCTTTTTTTTTTTAATCTTGCTTAAATTCAAACGAAAATGGATTAAATTAGCACAAAAGTGCATTTTGAGTCTAATTTGAAAATCAACCTTCCGAAGATTGGATTTTTCTGAGATTTTGGGAAACTATGTTATCGATGAAGCGTTTTATTTTAAAAAGTATGCAATCACTCAAAAATATAATGCTAGAACCCGTGATGTTCAGGATAGAACTTCAGGACTTCAAGACTCCTAACCACTCAGCAATGACTCCACTAGATTCAGTCATGAAGAATAAGAGTTAAAAACGAGTCTGAATGCAAAATTTGTTTAAAAACGGTAGTTGAACTTATTGAGAGCTGTTTAGGAGTGAATGAAGTGTATGAATGAAAGCTAGAGACAGAAATGAGAGTAGATATTAGAGTTAACTCCCTCTGGAGGCATCTAGATCGAGTGTGTTGTGGTGTTGTCGGCTAAGCGAAAGGTCCCGGGTTCGAGTCCCGGCACTAGTTTTTGAGCTGTCCTTTGAGAGTTTTTGAGCTCAATTTTTTTGAGTTTACAACATTAGAGATTAGATATTAGAGCTGATATTAGAGCTGATCGATTGGATTTTTCTGAAATTTTGGGAAACTATGTAATCGATGAAGCGTTTTATTTTCAGAAAGTATGCAATCACTCAGAAATATATTAGCTCATGAATGCTAGAAGCCAGGATTTTGAACTCTTTTGCTTTTTTGCCATTTTGTAGATTAAGGATAGGGCTTTTGAATCAAGCAAATCGTTTTTTTTGATTGGATAAGCCGTTTTTTCAGAAAACACATTACCAAAAAGCGATCGTTTAAACCTAATAACCTATAGCCTATAGCTAATAACCTATAGCCTTGCCAACCTAATATTTGAGAGCATGAGAGGTGAACAGTAAACCAGTGTGAGCCTTGTTTAGACATATAAGATAGACTAGGGCAAGGCAAGCAAAAGACAGAATTTAGATTCATGCCTGGCTTCTAGTAAGACTTGTTGGTAAGGCCTGGCTTGGCTTGACTCAGCAAAAATTGGACTTCTTTTGCGAGAACCCTATTTGAGGAGCTTGTTAGCTTTGGAAATGATTGAAAAGCTAGTAATTCAAAGAAACACAGGCCTTGAGTAATTTTCTGAAGAAATGAAACTTAGAACTCTTTTTTTGGCTTTACTAAAGACAAGATTCAACTTTCTCAACTCACCCATTGTACTCTCCAGCAGCCACTTGTTTCTTCATCCAGGGATCGCCAAATTTGACCAAATCCAAGGAATAACATCTGAAAAGAATACTTTAGGAATTGTTCTTGTTCAATTGCTCTTGTTCAATTGTTCTTGTTCAATTGCTCTTGTTCAATTGTTCTTGTTCAATTGCTCTTGTTCAACTGTTTAAAGTGCTTGAATCTCTTTCATAAACCCCACCTCCCAAGCGGTGTCAAAACTGGATCCGCGTGCTCGCAACAATTGAATTTTCGGCCACCAAACGAGCACAGTTTCATGATTTCCTCGCATTCAAATCTAAATATTAATAGATAGATCTTTTTTTTATTCTTTACCCTCCAGACCAAAAGAAATTGTTGACGGAAATGTTTTTGTTGATTTTGCGATAATCTTTCAGCAGCTTTTCCCCTTCTTCGAGCGCTTTTGGGTCAGCGTTGCTGAAGAGAGCCTAAAAGGGTTACTGTAGGTACTGTAAGTGATTACGATAAGTCTGTTACGATGGGAAGTTGATTACGATAAGTCTGACGGATTACGGTAAGCAGACAGATTGCTGTAAGTCTGACGGAGTACGGTGAGTTGATTACGATAAGTCTAATAGATTACGGTAAGCAGACAGATTACTGCAAGGCTTACGGATCATGGCAAGATTGATAGAATAGGTCTTATGGCTTTTAGTAAGGCCAAAGAATTGCGGTAAGTTGTGTTTTAATGCTTTCCTTATTGTAAACCTCGAATTCTAAAAGCCTACCTGCATTTCAACATTTGCTTGCAGTAAATAATCCAAAAGTTTTTCCGGAAATTGATCATTTTTAATCGTCCCATTGAGCCAGGATTTCTTGATCGGATTGAAATTGCAAAAAGTGACAACCGGAAACTGAATCCCTGAGTCCTCGATCAAGAAAGAGACCTAGAAAGATTGGGATTTTGATGCTGGCATCGAAACTCACCTGTGAAACCACCGGTTTACTCGTGTAGAGCGTTGTGATGTTGACAATTTGACTGACGAGAAGAGCACATGAGAGACACATGATCGTTCCCCAGAACCACGTTGAGAACTTGTTTCCCAGATAGACACGAAGCGGGCCATGCATAGTGGTGACATCTAGGGTTTCAAGTAAACTTTAACACTAGTAAATTCAGTAAAGAATAGAGATAGCTCTAGCTAACAGCTCTAGCTAACAGCTCTAGCTCTAGCTCTAGCTCTAGCTCTAGCTCTAGCTCTAGCTCTAACTAACAGCTCTAGCTCTAGCTAAGCTAAATCTTCTAAATATAATACCAGTAAAGAATTGCGTTTCTCGATTGTATGAGCCAAGTTTTCGCTCTTGAACGATGCGTCGAAAGTGTCCGATCGGTAAATGCTTTATTTGATTCCGAAGGAACTCCTTTGTGTGTAAAGAGATACTGCTTTCATTTCTAAAATAAACTTTCACTTTTTAACTATATAGTATACCACAAAAAGTATCAAAAGATACAGAAAATCAATGATTTTTGAAGCATAAGATTTTTCTTTCAAAACTTTCTTCCAAATTTTCTTCTAAACTTTTTTTTGCAAAGATTGAGAAAATGCGAATTTTATGAATTTATGAAAGCTTTCTTTTGAATTGAGACAATCGTTTAAATTCGAATGGATTAAATTTGAATCTGGTCTGTAATCTGATCAACTTTGATGATCCAAATTGACTTTGATGATCATTTAACTGTAACAAGCTTGATCTTAGTTCTTTAGATCTTTGATCTTTCTTCTTTTGGTTTAACCGATCTAGTAATCAGAGTCAAAATTGAAACTATTGGGTTGGGGAGAATGAGTCGGCGCCGAAAATCAAAGAAATTTCTAAAACTTCTATTCGACTTTGTCAAATAATATGCGTTTGATATGAGTAGAATGGTTAACTAATTCTCTACAAAATCACATTTAAAAGAAAATTCAAACAGCGCCTCCGCTCAAGAAAAAGCCATTTTTTCACAAAAACTACAAACTGTGATCTAGAAAAAACCATTGGTGGGATCTTCCTGCAAATTTGGCAACTTAAGTAATTCAATGTGCTCTATCTTTTTTATATAAACACCAAAGAAGGTTTATGTGAAAGAAACTGTTCAAATGATGAGTCGGACTCTTTGCCATTTTAACCAGCTGCGTTTCGAAGTTCATAAACTCCACGAAAGAAAAGCTTTGTGGAATCTCTCAAAAGTGATTTTGTAGAGAAATAGTGGATCCTTTTGATCAAACCAAACGTATGTTTAAAGAAGGCTTTATGTGTGCAAAAAGTCCCTTTAAAGTTTGGCGCCGACTCATTCTCCCCAACCCAATATATTTATTGATTACAAAATTGATTGATTCTTTCTAAATGATCAGAGCCGAATTGCTCAATTCGTTGCGGATTCTGTAGTTGTTAAGTGGTTGTTTGAACATGATTTTTCAAAGATAGGATTCAAGAAAACGGGAGCGCTCGTCAATCAGCTTTGAATCAAGTCTTTGAGATTCCGCAGTCGTTTAGATAAAGCTTATGTTTAAAGCATAAGATTTTTCTTTCAAAACTTTCTTCCAAATTTTCTTCTAAACTTTTGCAAAGATTGAGAAAATGCGAATTTTATGAATTCGCATCTTAAGCTTTCATTGAATTGAGACAATCGCTTAAATTCGAATGGATTAAATTTGAATCTGGTCTGTAATCTGGTCTGGATTTGATTTGGATTTTAAATGAATTAAATGACTTAAATGAATCATCGAGGTGTACTTTGAGATAAAGCTTGTAAACATATTCTCTCTATTGCATTTCATCGAGCTTTTTTGGTTTGTTTCGTTTACATTATTCTGTCAACTTGATTCTTTGGATGGACTTTGTGCTCAATCGACTTAAACAAATCCTTTCTAGTGCACCAAATTCGTGCTTAATCATAAATCAATGAAGAAAAGATAAATAAAGATAACTTTTAAGTGTGCCAGAAGTTGAAAGCGTTTCTGTTGAAAGTTTAGAGGAAAAAGTATGCTGTTTAGACAAAGCTATTAGACAAAACTATTAGACCGAACTATTGGACCGAACTATTGGACAAAACTATTGAACAAAGCTATTGGACAGAAGTATTGGACAGAACTATTGGACGAAGCTATTGGACAAAGCTATTGGACAGAACTATTGAGCAGAACTATTGGACAGAACTATTGGACGAAGCTATTGAACAAAGCTATTGGACGAAGCTATTGGACAGAAGTATTGGACAGAACTATTGGACCAAGCTATTGAACAAGGCTATTGAACAAAGCTATTGGACAGAACTATTGGACAAAGCTATTGGACAAAACTATTGGACAAAACTAGTGAACAAAGCTATTGGACAAAACTATTGAACGAAGCTATTGGACAGAACTATTGGACAGAACTATTGGACAGAACTATTGGACAAAACTATTGGACGAAGCTATTTGACAAAACTATTGGACAAAACTATTGGACCAAGCTATTGGACAAAGCTATTGGAAAAAACTAGTGAACAAAGCTATTGGACAAAGCTATTGGACAGAAGTATTGGACAAAACTATTGGACGAAGCTATTGGACAAAGCTATTGGACAGAACTATTGGACAGAACTATTGGACAAAACTATTTAAGCAAAACTATTTATTATCAGACTCTATTTTGACAAAGCTTATCAATTGTTTCAGGTTGAGACAATTATTTGAACATTCTTTCCTCCAATGAACCACTTTTTTTGCAGTCAACCTTATTTTATCTGTTCTGAAAGTAGTTATCAATTTGCGAGGTGTCAAGGGATTTTATCATTTCTTCAAAATCTCTTAAACTTCAATTGCTAAACTCTTTCCAAATTTGAAAGTAAACTCATCTGCTAGATTTCATTGTCTTTCAATTTTCAATTTTCAAATTCTATCGAATGACAAATTGGTTTTGAAATTGTACTGACTAAAGAGATTTTGTTAAACCTGTTGTACTGTAAACTTGTTAATGTAAAAGTAAAACTAAAGCTTTGCTGTAATAGAAATTGATTGCACTTAACTAGTTCTCCGTAAACTAGTTAAGTGAGTAACTGTTAACTAACTAACTAGTTAACTAGTCCCCAAGTTCTCCTTAAGCCGAAATTCCAAGATCTAACCAGCCAAGCTTTTGACTTTTTAAGAAAAACAATGACTTTTCGATGTTTTCTAATCTCTAAACCATTTCATTTCTTCTTCGCTTTAGTTATTTTTGTTCTTAGCCTTTAATTTTCTAAAGTTGTTAGTTGTTAGTTCTTTCTTTTCTTTCTTTCTTTTCTTTCTTTCTTTTCTTTCTTTCTTTTCTTTCTTTCTTTCTTTTCTTTCTTTCTTTAGTAAACTGTAATTCAAACGCTTTTCAAAATATTATCACCTTCCTTTTTAGAGCTTTTTAAACCCACTAACTTCTCTTTTATTCCCTAATCAAGACAAGAAAATTCACCGAGTTCAAATCATTACCGTATTCTCCAAAAATATTAATTGCTTTGAGCGGTCAACTGAGAAAAATCAAGTCAGATATGCTTGTCAGCTTTTTTTGAAAAAGAAAAAAAGACGCGTTCCGTTTATGGGCCTCTTTGCCGAAGCTGAAGAGAGATTCTCTTCTTTTCATCTTTTAAGGACATTATGTACCGAGTGGTACGTCTTTTTTATACAAAATTTTGTTTGTGAGTTGATTAGATTCTTTGCAAAAAGAGCGCAAGATGAATTGATTATTTGGTCCATCGATTTGGATATTTAGACTGATTAAAATATTCACCTGTAATTGTAAATGACTGTAAACATCAAAATGACTGTAAATTCTAACATCAAAAGATTCACCAAGAAAGAATTATGTAGAGAAAGTCATCGATTTCTTAGTGAATTTCTCATTTTTCAAAAGAAAGTATGAAAAGAAAGAAAAAGAGCAAAAAAAGATTAACCTAATTCAAACTTGTCAGATAGTTTAACTAAATAGATGATTTAACATTTAAAATCAGCTGGTGAAATGAATGTATTTCAGTCCTTCACTTTAGCATAATTAAACCTTCAAAACGATTAGCTTTGATCTTTTAGTACTAACATTGATTTCTAATCTTTAAAAACATTGACAATCTAATCTTTAAAACCCTACCTGCTTGAATTGGCCAAATCGGGATGAGAAGTATTTAGACTCTGAAATGGAAATCAAATACAATATACTTTTCGACAGAGCTTTATCCTAAGCCTAAGCCTAAGCCTAAGCCTAAGCCTAAGCCTAAGCCCAAGACTAAGTCTAAACCTAAGCCTAAGCCTAAGCCCAAGCCTAAGCCTAAGCCTAAGCCTAAGCCCAAGACTAAGCCTAAGCCTAAGCCTAAGCCCAAGACTAAGTCTAAACCTAAGCCTAAGCCTAAGCCCAAGACTAAGCCTAAGCCTAAGCCTAAGTCTAAGTCTAAGCCTAAGCCTAAGCCTAAGCCAAAAGCCAAGAGGTCAACTTTATTGACAGGGATTAACAAGTCCATGGATCTTCTTTCGTTTACAGTTCTTTTTGCAGTTAGAGAACTTACTTAGTGCTTATGTACTTAGTCCAAACGTTTCACGATTCCATTCAAATTTTCATTTGAAATCTTTTCCTTTACTTACTGATTGCACTTGTGGATAGGAAAGTCGCCTTTTTGTGAGTCTCGACATCGGTTCTTCGGGTGGTTGACTGCTCTGATACGAGGCAATGGATTCTTCATCTTCTACATCTTCTACAGCTGGAGTAATCGTGAAAACCACACCATGATCTTTAGGCATTTTTCCAAAAGATCTATAAACTTTGGCAATAAATCAACAAAGAAAAATGGATTTGCAAAAATTGGAAAATTTTTGTCTTTGACAATTCATATTTTATTGGTTTATCTAAGAGAAAAAAGAATAGATTTAATAAAAACATCAAATTTAGTGTTTGATTGAGATTCTTTATCATATAATTTATGTTTGATTGCCTAATCTAAAGACCTTATGTCAAATTTTTCCCTGATTTTGTCAATTTTAAGAATTAGAACCTTACAAATCGTTTAGAAATCATAAAATCAACAAGAAGTCTACCAATTAGAGCTAAAAATGAAACGAATTTTGATTCATTGAATGCTTAAACAACTTTCAACTATGAAAACCCCAAGAAAGTTATAAATTTTGATAATAAAAAGTCAGAGAAGGTGATCAAATGGTCGAAAATGTTTCAAATCAATTCTTTCAATACTTTATGCTCTTGTAAACCCCCGCTTTCTAGCACATTCGCTTAGTAAACTTTTCACGCAATCAATCCATAAAAATCACCATTTATCTAACGTTTAGTGTGCCAAAAAGCATATGTTTATTAGAGCACAGTCATAGAACAAAGCCATAGAACAAATTGCTAGCCAAAACCTAAGATTCGATAAAAAAAAGCACAAAAATCCGACTAAACCATTTACAGTAAAGACTTAAAAACAAGAACAAACAGTAGCTATAGAATAATTGAAAAATCTAGTACAATACCGAAATGATTACAAAAGAATAAAGGAATAATTAAGCCTGTTAAAGAGAAGAGATTTGGAGTGAACGGAGAAACAGTTGTGTGTTTCTCAGAGAACAGAGAAGCACACAATGACTCCCATCTGATATCAGTGAAGAAAAAAAGAGAATAGTTTTCTGATTTTCTGATTTTCTTCCCCGAAATTTTATGAGAAACGAGTAAAGGAAAAGAATAGAATTTATATAGAATCAATGCTGGAATAGGTCATTTAATGCCTCCGGAACATTCTTTTTACAAGTGATCGATTATCACTTGATTCTTGTCAAGGAAAAGAATAGAATTTATGAAGAATCAATGCTTGAATGGGTCGTTTACCGCCTTGGGAACATTCTTTTTCTAAGTGATCGATCATCACTCGATTCTTGTCAAGGAAAAGAATAGAATTTATGAAGAATCAATGCTTGAATAGGTCGTTTACCGCCTTGAGAACATTCTTTTTATAAATGATCGATCATCACTTGATTCTTGTCAAGAAAAAGAGTTCAATTCTAGAGTTGAATTCAATCTTTCCAACCTAGACATTGATTTGATCAAAATTGAAACCAAGATTTGACCTTTTTATCATTTGAAATCTCTTCTCCAAAATAGACTAATGTTTCCGAGTTCCTCGAAAAGCTAGACCAATTACCCGAGTTTTAATTGGTAGACTCAACAAAATAGCTCCAATCGAATAGCTCCAATCGAATAGCTCCAATCGAATAGCTCCAATCGAATAGCTCCAATCGAATAGCTCCAATCGAATAGCTCCAATCGATTTCCCGATTCTGAAAACTCCTGGGTACAAGTTTACAGTTAAATATCTTCTTTTTTGGCTCATCTACAAAATAAAAGAAAAATCCCTTGTCAACCGGCCAGGGGTTCTTTGTGTCGTCGCGTAATCGCTCGCCGTCTGGCGAAGGGCTTTTACACAAGAGGGGCCGTTTCCCCGATTCGTAACCAGTCTGTTCAGGCCATATCTTCCAATTCGACATTGACTTCTCCGCAAATCAAGGCTAGTCTCAATCTGAATGTGTCGTGACGAATGATTAGAATGGTGATTAACAAGAGGAAATTCATTTTTGGAGAAGTGTTCCAAATCTGTGGAAAAAAGGAACCAAATCTGTAGAGCGGTGATCGACAAGAGCAAATTCATTCCTTAGAAGAAATTCATTTCTTCATTCATTCGTAAGAGATGTCTCCCATTCATCACAATGCCGAATCGTCAAAATTGAATGATTTTTGCATGGAGAATTCAACGAATCAATTGGGTTTTTGCTTTTGAAATTTTTGGTAGTCTAGATTCTGTTAAACGATTTGGTCACTTAAAGAGCAGAGAAAATGGGGGAATCATTGTCATTAAAACATAGAAAATTCTTCAAGATCCCTTCCGAAAGTTTCACTCAACTTTATCTCAAAGATAGACTCTTCCGAATGATGATTTGCTTGATCAAAGTTCTTTCGTTTATAACATTTTACTTAAAAATTCAGATCAATTAAAGGATTATCGAAATTTTAAAGGTGAATTTTAAATGTTTACTGTTTGCTTAATTCGAATTAGATTTTTTTCTTTTACTCTAAAATCTCAGTCTAATCCTCATCGATGATGTGTTATTCTAAAGCTTTAATTGAACTGGAAAACTGTTATTTTTAATGTAGTAAATGAATAGATTTTATAGTCTAAAGATAATATTTCAAAAGTTTTGTTTTCGAATTGTCAAATTTTGCAATTTCAATTCTTCATGCAGTATTGAATTGGCCGAGTGCAACGGTGACAGCCGAAACCCCGAATTTTCACATACCCGAACTCGTCGATGTTTCTGAAAGGAAAAAAGTTGAATGCAAAATTTATGATGAATTTAAATTCAATGCAAACCTGAAACCTCCACTCATTTGCATGTCTTCCGCTCGAAATGATCGATTGTCGGTCAGGGAAATGAGATCGGCCTAGAAAACTATTGATTAACGATGAACACTGAAATTGACCTCATATGGACAACCGTACTAAGCTAAATTTTGCGACAACTATTGAGTTGGTGAATTGAAAGCCGCTGGCTATTCCCAAGTCAGGCTTGAATGAAGTCAGGCTTGAATGAAGTTAGACTTGAATCTCTTCTAATCCGACTCTAACTTTGCCTGGCCTCGCTTGGACACTCTTACAGATACTAGAGCTCAATTACTAGGAAAAGGCAAGCACTTGACCTTTCAGAACCAGGCCCATCTTATAGAATTGGCTGGGTTCGAATCCGCTTTTAGTTTTTGCCCTCAAAGCCTTTAACGCAAGATATCTGGGTGTTTTTGGGTGCATTTTTGATCTCTATTTAAGGTACAGTTTGAGTGATCGATCAATTGCAGGCATGGCATAATGGTAGAGCGGCAGTCGGTCACCGGACTTGCTCAGTGTTCGATTCTATTGAGTTGGTGAATTGAAAGCCGCTGGCTATTGTCATATGTGACAGTTTGAGCACTTTCTTCAAAAGAAACCCATTTTGGTGTCAATGGAAAAGTTGTAGAGAATCAAAAATCAAGCTTATATCCAGATTTTCAGAACGATTCAAAAACTGGTTTTCTAGAAATGCCAAATTTACGAATTTTCACAAAACTTGCATTTTAAGCGAAACTACTAAGTGTATCTTTTTGGAAATTTGGCTATAAGCCTCATTTTTGATTCTCTACAACTTTTCTATTGACACCAAAATTGGTTTCTTTTGAAGAAAGTGCTCAAACTGGGACATTGGGACATCTCCAGTCCTCGATTTTTGAGTCTCACACTTGTCTCACACACAAACCAAAATCCTACCATTAAAGAGGAATCCGCAAATTGCCTGTAAAATGAGCAGAAGTCGTCAATAATAATGGAAATTATTTGGAATCAATTGATGGTTTTATGTTGAATAAATTTTAGTTCAAAGCCCGGCAGTTTTCAATTCACCAACCCAATAGTTTAAAAGCTTTAAAGCCAGGTCTAGGACCGGCTTTTGATCAGAATCAGAGACTTTTCTTGGCTAGGTCTGGCTCGACTTGGCTCTACTTGCACAGGCTTGAACTTGGCTTACTTTTCCATCTCTTTCTTCTTGTCTTTTCTTCTGTCTTTTCTTCTACTTTTTCCTCTCTTTCTTCTTGTATTTCTTATTTCTTCTTGGATATAGAAGTCGCCAATCACTCAGTGGTAGAGCATCTGCCTGAGAAGCAGAAAGTCGAGGGTTCAATTCCCATCGGCTTCAAATTCTTCGCCATTGATTTCTTTTGTTTATTACAAGACTGAATAGCTATAAGCTAGACCTGAGTTTTGGCCAGTTCTTCTCATTGCTAAGCCAGTTCTTCTCCAGCTAAGCCAGTTCTTCTCATTGCTAAGCCAGTTCTTCTCCAGCTAAGCCAGTTCTTCTCCAGCTAAGCCAGTTCTTCTCCAGCTAAGCCAGTTCTTCTCCAGCTAAGCCAGTTCTTCTCATTGCTAAGCCAGTTCTTCTCCAGCTAAGCCAGTTCTTCTCCAGCTAAGCCAGTTCTTCTCCAGCTAAGCCAGTTCTTCTCCAGCTAAGCCAGTTCTTCTCCAGCTAAGCCAGTTCTTCTCCAGCTAAGCCAGTTCTTCTCCAGCTAAGCCAGTTCTTCTCACTGCTTCTCACCGTATTCTCCCTTCCCGGAGCTCTTGGTCCAACAACGAAAAGCATGTACACTGCACAGATGTCTAAATTGTCAACTTGAAAGTTTTTATCAAGCTGTATCAAGCAGTATAGACAAAATCTGTATATGCTAACCATTTTGACAGCTTGGCACTGGGACCAATGTGATCGTTGGTGCGTCAAAGGTGCTTGTCCAAAGGGTACCTTAAAGGATTTTTGAATTTGAAAGTCTGCTTTCAATTATGAGTTTAATTGTTGGTGTATTTTGTTCCAATTACCCAAATACAGAGAATAATCTAACCCAATAATCTAACGCAAAAAAAGAGCAGACGCAAATTGGCTTTGTGACGCGTCTCGGCGATATTTAATTACGTGGAAGTGCCCAAATTGGGACTCTGAGACTTTTTTTGTGGGGGAAAATTGACCAAAAGCTGAATGAATTGGCCAAAAGCTAGAAAAGGCACAATTTTTCTTTTAGGTGTACTTATGTGAGCTCAAAAAATGGAAGCACAGCCCATCTGGCTTATGGTAAGATGTGCATACCGTAATCCCGTTCACCATTTTACTTTATACCTACCGTAACCCCTACTGTAAACCTATTAAATCGAGATTACGGTAAGCTATGAGAAAAGCTACAGTAATCCCGGAATCCCAACGAATTTAAGCATTATTATTAGGCAAAGATAAACAAGGATTGGCAACTGAGAAACAAAGATTGGCAACAGCTGCTCGGTAAACTTAAAACTATAGCAAGAGTACAGTCACTTTTCCTTGAGCATCTTTTCGTAAGCAAAGTCTCCTCACCATTCTCTTCTTCAATGCAAATCTCTCCATTCGGACAATAGAAAGAGCCAATCACTGGATCGTCAATGTTGAACGGTTGAATGGTGGAGAAATTTGAACGAATCGACGCAAATGTTGGTTGAATTCCATGAGCACACTCGCTACAAATATCTAGAAATATAGCTAGAAAATTAAACAAAAATTTTCCTTAGAAATAAATCCCCACTTAAAGTCGACGCTTGACTCCCAAAAATGTTTGTGTTCACTGCATTGTGTGGGATAAAAATGAGAGCGCTCGAGCGACACAATCAACCTAAAATTCAAGCCTTTTACTAATAAATTAATGAAAAAGAGATTTCCGGGAATAGAAGGATCCTCACCCGGCCGAAAATTAAAACAAAAAAGCAAAAAGTCGAGGTTTCAATTCCCATCGGCTCCAAATTCTTCGCCATTTGTTTCTTTTGTTTATTACAAGACTGGATAACTATAAGCCTGGCCAGCGCTAATTTTTGGCCTAGCTAAGCCAGTTCTTCTCACTGCTTCTCACCGTATTCTCCCTTCCCGGAGCTCTTGGTCCAATAACGAAAAGTATTTTTCGTTATTTTTCGTTATTTTTCTTTTTAATATAATTGTTTTAATATTTCTTTTGATCTCGGGCATCAGTTGATAATGGTTTTGTGGGTTTTGAGCAACTTTTAACATCAAAAAACATTAAAAATTGTTTCATCAGTCCACAACAAATCCTCAATGGGAGCTATGGAGCCTAAGCCTAAGCCTGAGCCTGAGATAACCCATATGTACCGACTCATTTATAGATTCAAAGCTTAAAATGAGATCAAAAGCATCAAAAGATTCTATTAGGTTCTATTTAGAAAGAAATTTAGGTTTAGAAAGAAAGCTCTGGGAAAAAGTTTCACTGGAATTGACTTAAAAACTTGCCAAACGGACAAATACTTCAAAAATTCAGAACAAAAATAATGGCTCGACTTTGATCTCACTCAAATAAATATAATTAATATAATAATTAATAATTTATTAAAAAAACGAATCCACCAATTCAAGAACATTTTTTTCGATTATTTAAAAATCGACTCCAAGAAATTACTTTTAAAAAAATGAGTGCAGCTTTTCATTAGAGATTTTTTTGAAAATTCTTTTCCCAACTTAAATTCAGCTCACTTTTTGCATGAGAAAAGCGATTTTTTTTTTATAAAGTAAAGCTAGCAAAAAATGAGCAATTTTGATCAAGAATTTAAATCCTTCGACTGTCTATTTCCTTTGTGACAACGCGCCAGCTCATACAACGAAAGCTTCTTGCGCCATCTAGTCCAGACTTATCATCATTTGATTTTCACCTCTTCAGATCGATGCAGCATTCCCTTTGGCAGTTTAAGAATGCGCAAGAGGTTGAGATTTAGGTGATTGACTACTTTCAATCACAGAAACAAGAGTTCTTCGATAAGCGGACCCGTAATCTGAAGTCCGTAATCGCGGATCGATAAGCGGATCCGCAATCTGAAGCAACGTTGGAGTTCTTCGACCAATTCACAGAATCAAGAGTTCTTCTATTAGGTTGATGCAAAAGTCTTTTTCATTTTTTTCGTACTTCTTTTGAAAAATAAAAAAGTCATCAATTAACCTATGGTTTGCTCTAAATGAAAAGTGTTCATTGTTCAATTTCCCATCTTTTTTAAGTCAATTTGGGTTCACTTTCAAGCAAATTCGAGAGTGAAAACGGGTTTTTCATAAAAATCTATAAAAACCTCTATAAAGAAATTGGCTGAATCAATTTCTCTGAAAATCTGAAAAAATATCGAACTTTTTGTGCTCTATCTTTTATTTATTAACATCAAGATTGGTTTCCTTAGCTAAAGCGTCTAAAATGCATCATCGAGCCGTCGCCTTTTTTGACTACCCGACTTCAGGCTCTCAAAAAAATCTAGACATAAGACATTTTAAACTCGTTTTAATGTCATTTTGCAGAAAAATAATTGGCCTTTCGAATGCAATAAACCGTTGTTCAATTGGTGCATTTGTTACTTTTTAACGGAAGTACGAAAAAAATGAAAAAGACTTTTGCATCAACCTAATATAAGGGGATCGGAAATAACGTTGGAGAGATCTTATAGAAAACGATGGTGCTTATTTTTTAGAATAAATTATTACCTAAAGAAATTTTGATTAGAGGTAATATTTGTTTGTAAGTTTCTTTTGCTGGAAACGGGATTTTAAAGTAAACTTTGAAATGAAACAATTTCTTTTCTAACCTCTTCATAATCAATCTCCTCCTGGCTCGGCTTTCCTCCATTGAAGATCATTGAGAAAATTGAATTCTCACTGATCGGTTCCTCTTCTCGAGTTTCTTTGGATTCGAGCTGAATGAGTTGTGTAATAAGTAACAACAATTTATAGGGTTTATAGGGTTTGAATTGAAAACATCTGAAAGCTTGAAGCTGTGAATCTCTTCTTCAAAGTTTCTTCTTCTTCTTCGCTAAGTTTTCAAGTTCTTTTAAAAGTTTCGCCCAACTAATTAATCAAATTGGTAGACTGAAGAAAATGAATAGATTATTTCTTTGAGATCAATGCCCCAATATTTGACTGAAAATTTGCTATAAAACTGAGAGAAAAGTGAGCCAAAGTTGAGGAGACGTCTCTCTTGTTTCTTGATTTTCTTCGTTTTTTTTGTATTCCAATCATTTTGTATCATTTGAAAAGTCGAAATTTTCATTGTATTGGGCTGGTGAATTGAAAACTGCCGGGCTTTGAACTAAAATTTATTCAACATAAAACCATCAATTGATTCCAAATAATTTCCATTATTATTGACGACTTCTGCCCATTCTACAGGCAATTTGCGGATTCCTCTTTCGTAGTAGGATTTTGGTTTGTGTGTGAGACAAGTGTGAGACTCAAAACATCTATATAGTCGGATTTCGGAGCAAAAACGGCAACAAGCAATCGTCCAAGACATCTATCTAGTCAAAACTGTTTCCGTTGACTAAAATCCAAATTTCCAAAAAGATACACTTAGTAGTTTCGCTTAAAATGCAAGTTTTGTGAAAATTCGTAAATTTGGCATTTCTTGAAAACCAGTTTTTGAATCTTTCTGAAAATTTGGATATAAGCTTCCTTTTTGATTCTCTACAACTTTTCCATTGACACCAAAATTGGTTTCTTTTGAAGAAAGTCCTCAAACTGTCACATATGACAATAGCCCTCAGTTTTCAATTCACGAACCCAATATAAACCTTTTTCCCGACTGCCCCCATCAGCAGTGGCGTCCGAGTGGTTAAGGAGATTGACTAGAAATCAATTGGGCTCTGCCCGCGTAGGTTCGAATCCTGCCCGCTGCGAATCCTGCCCGCTTTTTGTTTTTAACAAAAAAGCCTAAAGATCTTGAAGATAATAGCCGGCAGTTTTCAATTCACCAACCCAATACTTTGAGCAAAGCACTTTAAAACTTTAAAATCTCCTTTCTCTTGTAGGATTTTTCACCTCGAAATTCTCAGGCTCAGGCTCAAAGTGTTTGTCATTCGTCAGCACATAGTCATCATATTGAAATCCCTCTGAACTCAGTTGATTCTCATTTATCGCCAATTCCATTCCTAAATTCGATTCAAACGGAGGCATTTGAATGGCTTTTATCAACTAGAAATGCAAAAATGATTTAATGATTTGGTTTAGCCAATTTAGATTAAGGTAATCTTATTTATTGTAATAATTCTGCAATTTTATAGATTTAAAAAAAGCCAACAAAGCCAACAAAGCAAATAAAGCAAATAAAAAATCCCAACCGCTTCCCTCAAATGACGTCAAATCTTCAAACAATCGTGGCTTAAGAGCGAAAAGATTTGAGGAAATATTTGAAGAAATATTTTTAGAAAAAGATAAAATTAAGAATATTTTCAATATGCTTAGACTCATTTTGATCTTCTTTTCAATTCCAGAGTGAAAAGTGAGACTTTTCTCCTTTTTCGCTCAAAAAATGACCTCACAAGATTTTAATCGCGAGATTTTTCTTTAAATTTCAGTTTTCACACAATCCCGATTTCCAGAATTGACGGAAATGAGCAAGATTTGAATTTTTTACGTTTATTCTTTCTTTTTGACTTTGACTTGAACCCGCTTACTGTAAATCTATCGTACGTCTAGTTTAATGTGTCGTAACGTATCGTAGCGTAGCCCAATTACCGTAAATCTACCGTACGGCTACTTTAACGTATCGTAACGTATCGTAATGTATCGTAGCGTAGCCCAATTACCGTAAATCTCTCGTACAACTACTTTAACGTATCGTAAAGTATCGTAACGTATCGTAGCGTAGCCCAATTACCGTAAATCTCTCGTACAACTAGTTTAACGTATTGTAACGTATCTCAACGTACCTTAACGTAATCCGTTTACCGTAAATCTATCGTACGGCTGGTTTAACGTATCGCAACGTACCTTAACGTAACCTGGTTACTGTAAATCTATCGTACAACTACTTTAACGTATCGTAAAGTATCGTAACGTAACTATACGTTTCTTTTTTCATCTCAGCCTAGTTAAACTAGTCCTTTTTTAAAGGAATTTGTGCTTTAAGATGTGGAAATTTTACTGTAAAGCATGCTCTGGCTAATGTAAAAGAACCGAAGAACAGTAATACCTTGGCTACAGTAAGATTTGATTGAAATATTGACATTGTTCATGTTTATTCATTTCTTTTTTCAAAGCCCTTTAACTTTCTTTTGCTAAACGAGATCGCTGAAAATTATTTATTAACAAAACTTTAAATCATCAAGATTTTCGTGAGAAAGAGATTTACAATACCCGTAGAAATCATATCATCAAATGCGCAAAAGATCAAAATTGAGAACAAAAGAGATTTCTGTTGATTTTGGATCACTCTTGCTCATCGGAGAACTGACGGAGTTGCTTGTGCTGAAGAAATGAGCCATTATTTTGATTACTATTTTGATTACTATTTTGATTACTCTTTTGATTACTCTTTTGATTACAGTTTAAGGGATCTCAAGAAGATTTTCGAGATTCGAGATTGGAGATCAAAAGGTGATTTCTGATGGTCAAATTTGAGGATTTTCTTCGGTTTATTCTTGCAATCATTACTTTGAGTGGGTCATTTTTGCAATCATTACTTTCAGTGAATGATTCGTGACGTGATTTCGTTTTAGGATTTAGATTTTAACTTTGTGAAGTTATTTTTGAATAATGATAAATCCATTATAACTTTGGATCAGCGTCAATCAATTATAGACTTCTTTTAAAACAGTTTTAAAAGGTTCTCTTCAGAAAAGCTACAGTAATCCACAGTAATCCCAAGCTACAGTAATCCTAGCTACGGTAGGCCTAATTTAGAGTAGGCTTAAGTTACAGTAGACCTAGCTACAGTAATCCTAGCCAGAGCAGGCCTAAGCTACAGTAGGCCTAAGTTATAGTTGACCTAATTACAGTAACCCTAGCTACAGTAAGCCTAGGTTACAGTTGACCTATCTAGAGGAATCCTAGCCAGAGCAGTTACAGTAACTCTAGCTACAGTAGCCCTAGCTACAGTAGACCTAAGTTACAGTAGACCTAAGTTACAGTAGACCCAACAGTAATCTAAAGCGTCGTAAAGGACTTGAATGAGTGAAAACTTCTTGAGGCAAGTCACGGTTAAAATTTCAAGAATATAGCAGTCGGATTACTGTAGTTTTTCTTAAGTATCTTTTAGTTATCTATTCTATTTAATATACTATAACTCACCCATAACAAATTGCACTGAACCGGCGAGAAAAAGCAGTTTCGATCGTACGAGTACCGACGTGCGCGGACACGGAGTGGTTGATCGAGGAAACTGAAAGGGTACTGTAACAAGAGTAAAACAAGAGTAAAACAAGAGTTATAGCTATGTTATAGCTATCTAGCTGTCTAAAATCTAAAAATATAGCTTTTGATATCTAAAATGAAACTAATCCTGACCGTTTTTGCGGAATCCGATAAACTCTCAAAGCAACGAAGTCATTTTCACTGGATTGACCAAGCGTTTCGGCGAAAATGAGAAAAAAAAGGAAAACAAGCGAGAATTTGATGCTCATTTTGTGTGGAAAAACCCTGAAAATTCAATATAATATTATTAAAAAGCATATCAAAGCAATCAAAGCAAAAGAAAGGCATAGAATTGCGAGAAAGTGTACGATTCTTGAGAAAAGCCTAAACAGCACAGGTCTATTGTACTTGCTAAAGTCTATTGTACTATTGTACTATTGTACTAAAGTCTATTGTACTAAAGTCTATTGTACTATTGTACTATTGTACTAAGGTCTATTGTACTATTGTACTAAGGTCTATTGTACTATTGTACTAAGGTCTATTGTACTATTGTACTAAGGTCTATTGTACTATTGTACTAAGGTCTATTGTACTATTGTACTAGTGTACTAAAGTCTATTGTACTATTGTACTATTGTACTAAGGTCTATTGTACTATTGTACTAGTGTACTAAGGTCTATTGTACTATTGTACTATTGTAGTTACTAAAGTTCACTCATAAATGCACCACACCTAGCTCACAAAAAGCTTAGAATATTTCAGCTGTCTTACTGTGTCTAGTATTAGTATAATACTAGGTAAAGTATTTAAAAAATAACCCTAAAGGTCAAAATAAACTTTAAACATTCAAAAATGTGAAAACTCGCTCAGAAATTCCAAAAAAAGTCTCTAAAACTTTCAAATTTAAAGAAATTTTTCCAAAAATGACTTCAAAACTTTCGTCACTACGACCAAATGCCCATTTGCACAAAACGAAAGTGCAAATTTATGTAAAGCACCGAGAAAACCCAATTAAAGTAATTGAGGGGTAAAAAAAGGGAAAAAGCAAAGAAGATTTCAATTTTTTTTGAAGAATTTGAAGAATTGGTGATTTTGAATGAATGAAACTTTAGAGAATTTAGAAAAACAAACGCTCAATGAAATTGAATTCGATCAAATCTTGTAAATAACATTTAAAAACAGCTGGAATCCTACTCGAAAATATTCATTATTTGGAAGGGCTAATGAGAAAAGATCGAGGACAACCCACTGGACACCAAAAATCTACAATGCCTGCTTTTTTTGTGTCTTGTACTTTGCACATTTTTCTCGTGGGATTAACCGACTCTAGTTTTCATCCGATCAATTACTTGTCTGATTGAAAATATGAGATCGGATAAATACGGCAGAGACGGCAGGCAGATCAAAATGATCCACATGATTTTGATGATTGTGATGAATGGGAGACATTGTCCCAATCATTGCGATGAATCGGATGCCTTCAAAGAATGAATTTGCTCTTGTTGATCAGCCTTCTAATTGCTCGTCAAGAGACGTTCAGATTGAGATTAGCCTTGATTTGGGGAGAATGTCGAATGTTGAATTTGAGGATTCGGAAACGGTCGGAAGAGATTGCGGAGCGGAGAGGGAAGGGGGTCATGTAAAAGCTCTGCGCCAGACGACGAGCGATTACGCGGCCGCACAAAGGTCACCCAGTCATTTAGACAGGGATTTCTCTTTTGCTTTGTAAATGGCTTTAAATAAAGATATTCAGCTAAAAATTTGTACCCAGGGGTTTTCTGGGTCGGGGAGTCGATTGGCGGCGTTTGTTTTACTAAATCTTTCAAGCGAAGTGCTAGTTCCTAGCCAAAATACCTCAAAAGCCTACGGCAAATTACGGCAGAGACGGCAGGCAGATCAAAATGATCCACATGATTTTGATGATTGTGATGAATGGGAGACATTGTCCCAATCATTGCGATGAATCGGATGCCTTCAAAGAATGAATTTGCTCTTGTTGATCAGCCTTCTAATTGTTCGTCAAGAGACGTTCAGATTGAGATTAGCCTTGATTTGCGGAGAATGTCGAATGTCAAATGTCGAATGTCGAATGTCGAATGTCGAATGTCAAATGTCGAATGTCAAATGTCGAATGTCAAATGTCGAATGTCGAATGTCGAATGTCGAATGTCGAATTTGAGGCCTGAACAGACTGCTTACAAAATTCGGAAACGGCCCCTCTACTGCAAAAGCCCTGTGCCAGACGGCGAGCGATTACGCGACGACACAAAGCACACCTCGCAAATTACGGGATCTTATGGAGTTTCATGGAAAAAATAGCCAGAATCAATGTTGAGATCATTTTTGACAAGTTAAACAATTTAACGAAGGTACAATACAAAAAAAAGTTGAAATCTAAAGCCGATTGACTTGCGGAATGACTATTTTACTTGTTATCGAAGTTTTTATTTTACGGAACCAAAAAAATTGTTGACATATCCACGATAAAAATGTTCATTCTTGTTTTCGCCCGAAAATTCCCCCATTTTTCCGCCTCCCAATTAGCATTTGAATCCTCGTCTTTTCACAGGTGCTTTTGAGGGTTACTTTCTGCGCAATTTTACTTCATTCTTCATTCAGATTCACAAAAAACTCCAAATTACTGAGAAAATCGTTGCTAAAGGCTAAACTCGGATAGTAGAAATTTGTCTATCAAAGATAAAGCAAATTCCTATGCAAAGTTCATTGTTGAAGGTTTAGTTTGAAGAAAATTGGTCATACTTGAGTCTGTTAAGAGAGTGATGTATTGAATGCGCTAGAAAGGGTTTGTTTGAATCTTTGAGTACACCTCAAATGTTAAGTACATGTTCTATCGAGCATGTTCTAAAGTATACATGTTCGATCGAGCTCTAGGATCTGTAAACCGGCTAGAGCTAGGTCGGGACTTGGGTCAGAGCTTAGTCAGATGGTAGGCCAAGGTTTTAGAGTGGGTTAGAGTCGCTCGGCTATGGAAGAGTTAAACGTTGGGGCAAGATTCGTGAGAAGAAGAATCACATTGACGAATTACGTGACTATAAGGGATAGAATAGGATAAAGATAAATATTTGAGTTAGAAGAAGATTATGGAAGGATATATTGGGTCACAATTGGATCAGAATTGGATCAGAATTGGATCAGAATTGGATTTCAATTGGATTCCAATTGGATTTCAATTGGATTTCAATTGGATTCCAATTGGATCAGAATTGGATCAGAATTGGATCAGAATTGGATTTCAATTGGATCTCAATTGGATCAGAATTGGATCACAATTGGATCTCAATTGAATCCCAATTGAATCCCAACTCAATAGAAATAGTCCCACGAGAAACAGCAAGAAATTCAATGAATGAGACATTCTGAACATTGTTTCAATGAAAAAACCAAAGACATTCACAAAGAAATCCAGAAAATCCCCATACTTAAAGAAATGAAACGCTAAAAATAGTACAAAAAACATATCGAAAAGGGTTTGGCCAAAATTTCTTCGCAAATTCCCTCAATAAATACGATTTTTCTCTTGTATATTCCCTCCACGTGGCCAAAAGTCATTCGAATAATGAAATTCTTCGATTTACTCATTGAAATTGCCCGGTTTTCAGCCTTTTTCGTGATGTCAGCGCTTTTAAATCATTTTTTTTTCTTTCAATGCCAACGATTTTAGTCAGCGAAAAGCTTTGAAAATGATTCTTTTTGGTAAAAGGTTATTTAGGTGAGTGGGAAATGTCTGGATGATGTGATTTTTAGATTTCTTTTTGAAAAACTAAAGATCAAATTTGTTGTAGATTGAAAGATGGATATATACTTGTTTATGAGAGGTGAAAACAGGTAAAGTAACTATTTTAGGATTGTGAAAAGAAGAGTAGACTGAATTGGAGTACAATTCCTTTAACTGATTTCTTTTCAAGACATATATATTGTTAAAATCTTCAAATTTCAAAAAACTTGTTCGGATTGTAATTTGTCGAACAAATTTCCTTTCCAAAGCTGCAAGATTGATGATTTGTGATGCCAGGATTTGACTTAAGATTTGAAAACAGATATCAGTTTGGAATTTAGTATCAATCCAATCAAACAAACACAAAAAATGGATTAGAAAGTATTAAAGAAACTTGTTTACAGTGCTACAAGAACAGTGATACTCGGCGTCATTGATTGAAGGACTCATTGCCAAAGTTCATTGCAAAAGTTTTATTCAAAGCTTATTGCCAAATCCAATCGATTAAAGTACGCTTAATATAGGCTTGTCGCTTGATTTAGGTAATTGAAAGCTGATCAACAGTAAGCTGGCTTACAGTAAGCTGATCAACAGTAAGCTGCTCAACAGTAAGCTGATCAACCGGAAGCTGATCAACAGGAAGCTGATCAACAGTAAGCTGGCTTACAGTAAGCCGATCAACAGGAAGCTGATCAACAGTAAGCTGCTCAACAGTAAGCTGCTCAACAGGAAGCTGCTCAACAGGAAGCTGATCAACAGGAAGCTGATCAACAGTAAGCTGATCAACAGTAAGCTGCTCAACAGGAAGCTGATCAACAGGAAGCTGGCTTACAGTAAGCTGATCAACAGTAAGCTGGCTTACAGTAAGCTGATCAACAGTAAGCTGATCAACAGTAAGCTGACCAACAGGAAGCTGCCCAACAATAAGCTGCCCAACAATAAACTGCCCAACAGTAAGCTGCTCAACAGTAAGCTGGCTTACAGGAAGCTGCCCAACAGTAAGCTGATCAACAGTAAGCTGATCAACAGTAAGCTGATCAACAGTAAGTAGCCCAACAATAAGCTCACCAACAGTAAGCTCACCAACAGTAAGCTGCCCAACAGTAAGCTAACAGAAGTTTAATGAGTTAGGTTAATACATAGCTAAGCACTATCGAGTCGGTTTCCTTGAGTACTATTTTGGGACGGTGTCCGCTTTGCAGACCCAAAACGGCTAGGTATTTACGAGAAAATTTTCAATTGAATACGCAAGCGAGGAACGTGACAACGGCTTTACAAAGCACAATAACTTTACGTTGAAACGTATAAATTTCCCTCACCTTGCGGGAAACGAATCATAAATCAATTCGCTTTGCGAGAAAAACAGCCAACATGGGAAGAGGAATAGAAACTAAAGTACTTTTCGTGAATATGTATTATTTGGGTTGAATTAAGTTTTAGATTTATCTACAAACGATAAAAGAATCGATGAGTGACTCAGAGAAAATAAGGCAATAAAAATGGGAAGGGGAAAACCGTTAGCAAGCGTT